CTCCCCACTCTGTCCCTGGTGAATCCTCTCACCCTCCGCATCTCTGGCCTGTACCCCAGTTCTGTTTGCATAAATAAATAAATCTTTAAAAAAATTATAAAACTACATTCCTTCCAACCGACCTCTAGCCTAGGTTCGCCTCATCTCTTGCTTGGACTATTCAGAGACATTTAATCTCTGCTCTTATCAAGCTTTATTCCAGTTGCTGGGCATTCAAAAGTGCTGATCTTGCTCAGTCAATTCTCTGACTTAAAGCACTTCAATGAGACTATGCTCTAAGATAAAAGCCTGGTTCCCTAGGATGGCACAGACACCCATCGTGACTACCCAACTGCAGGGCTGGGATCAGGTGAGGTAAGTGAAGACCCAGTGTGCAGAATTTCAGGAGACGCTCTGAGGTGCTGTTTCTGTAGGTGCCTGACCCCCAGTGCTACAGTCTGGGCGCCTCATCTTTCTTGCTTTAACTCAGCAGATTCTCTACTTCCCATGAACTTCTCATGGGCAGGATGGTGGCTGGTCATTTTTGTGTGGTAGTGTCTCAGGCTCTATGCAGCCTTCAGCTGGTGCTCCATAAATGTTGGCTGAAGTGAAGGCAGGTCTGCTGCAGGAACTCGGAGTTAGCCTCACGCCCATTGTGCAAAGCAGAGCTATCTGCCAGCCTCTTTTGGATGGGGTAACCTCGAAAGACTGCAATGCACCAGGTGTGAACTAGAGCCAGTCCTTGTTTAGACATGGGGTGGGGGAAGGAGTGGGTGTAAAGCCACCAGCTCATCAGGGCAGGCACAGGTCTAGCAAGTCATTCCCCTTCTGACAAATGTATTAGGTATCAGTCTGAAATTTTCATAGGAATTACATAATTCTAGGTCAAGTACTAATTTTTGAGTTTTCTTCCTGCCAAATTTCCACCATGCTGGCTTGTTTGCCAGTCTTACAGCAGTGATGTGTTTTCTAGCAGGCAATTCATGTAGCTTAGGGAGTTATTCTGGAGCCTCATTAAACTGTTCTTGAGCCCAGTGTCTGAAGAGAGACTAGCAACACATCCCTCCAGAGGGTTATCATTGCTACCAGAGGGGTGCTTGGAGTTTCTGGATTGATTCTTCTTCAACCCAATTTGGGAGGGATTGTCATAGAAGAAACAGTTCTAAGGGAAATAACATTCCTTAAGATTCAATAATAAAAAAAAAAAGATTCAATATCAGAGTTTAACTTTTTTAGCATCATTCAATTACTTTCTTAACTGTGATCACGGGGGACAGGACCTGTGTTATGTATGTGACTGGAGCTTCCCCATGCAGGCAGAGCATATCTGTTTTGTTCAACACTGCTTCTTCAGGGCTAGACTGTACCCGGCACATAATGGGTGCCAGGGAATGGATAAAAAAGCAGCTTGGGGCTCAGGCTGGGACTTAGAGGGATAAGTCTCCAGAACTGCAGAGCTGAGGGTGACAATGAACCCCACGTTCAGCTTTCCAATCACAGGGAGGCCTTGGCAAGCCTGTACCCAGCTGATGGCCAAGCCTGGAATCCTAACCCCACCAAGGGTTGTTGGATGCTGGAAGTCAATTCATTCATCTGATCAAGTGAAAACAGGAAAGGTAGCCACCCAAGCTGACTGCTGCTACCTACAATACTTAGTAGGTATTGTAGGGCAACCCTCAACCACCTCTACTTTGAGAGAAAAGGACCAGAAAGCCCTTGCGTGGACCAACAGGATGCAATCAACAGGGTTTTACACAGAAATTTAGGGGTGCATGAATTCCCCGAAGTTCTTTCATCACCTTCCCAGACAGGCAAAGGCCCTGGGTAAAAATATCTGGGTTAGAGGTTGTATGTGGTCTCTGAAGCAGTTAGAAATGGACAGGCTCTTACAGTGTAACTTATGTCCTCCGCATCTAAAGAGATTTTATAGTTTAGGTTATGGATCCTCAATAATTTTCCCAGCGAACTCCAGGGTTTAGCTGGTGGGTAGCAGAACGGAGACCTATACCCATCTTTTCTGAGTTCCTGTTGTGCAAGGGTATTGCTCTCATAGACTATGTTTAAAAACAAATGCAAAGAAAGGAGAAGGGTGGAGAGACATCATGTGCGGGACAAGGAAAGAGTAGTTGTTCCTGGCATGTA